ACAACAGAACTGAAGCCATTCGCGCCGTGGAAAACCTACATGAAATTGCGCAGAAAACCGGGTTACAAATTTCTTATGATAAAACCAAATACATGGAAAGAAAACCAAAAAATAAATCTTCTCTTATGACAAAACATGGTGAAATTCTACAAGTAGGCCATTTTAAATACCTCGGGGAAATTATACAGTCCTCAGGTTTAAACCGAATCGCTAATGAACAGAGAATAACCAAGCTCCAAAGGGCCTACAAACTAACATGGCCTCACTATAACAAAAAGTGCATTTCGAGAGGCGCCAAATTAAGGCATTATAACACAACGATTCTTCCAGAAGCAATCTACGCAGCTGAAACAATGGTTATTGGCGGCCATTCAAGAATTAGAGAAATAGAAAAACAAGAACGAAAAATTCTCAGAAAGATTTACGGGCCAATCAATAGAAACGGTATTTGGATGAAAAGACCTCAGAATGAACTGTATCAAAAGACAAATACGATAACGGAAGAAATCAGAAAACGACGAGCAAAGTTCTACGCACATGTCTACAGAATGAAACAGTCCAGAATACCGAAGAAACTACTCAATATAATTATGAATAGTAAATGCGGAACAGAGTGGTTAAAAGAGGTCCAAAAGGATCTACAACAGATCAATATAAAAAATGTCGAAGATCGCACTGAATGTAGCTATAAAATCACACATGTAAAGTTTGAGCAAAAATCAAATGGTCAACCTGGAGTAAAGTGGACAGATGAACGGAAGAAAGAGCATTCAGAGAGGATGAAGCGTTTTTGGGAGGCAAAAAGGATGAATCAAAATTCCTAATGATTGAGAATTCAAGTTCAGTCGCTCTCCTCATGGGGAACAATCGAAATAATAATAATAATAATAATAATAATAGTATATATATATATATATATATATATATATATATATATATATATATATATATATATAACATATATATATAATATATATATATATATATATATATATATATATATATATATATATATATAATATATATATATATATATATATATATATATATATATATATATATATATATATATATATATATATATATATATATATATATATATATATATATATATATATATATATATATATATATATATATGTATATATATATATATATATATATATATATATATATATATATATATATATATATATATATATATATATATATATATATATATATATATATATATATATATATATATATATATATATATATATATATATATATTGTATATATATATGTTCTGATATATTTTTGTATAGTTTTAGTTCACAAGAAATACGTGGCTGGCAGGGTGGCGTTTTGAAAAGCCGTATAGTTCCTTTCAGTTCACCGACTTTATGCGACCGTTTTATTTGACGTGGCATTTGGCAACATGTTAAATTCCAGGAAAATGTGTATCGACCGGATGTTTTATTAGCATCTAACTGCTAATTATTTTGGAACTCTTGATTTCAGATATATAGGTATTTATGTTAATCGTTATATTTGAATTCATTGAATATGTTTCTAGTGGTATGTTTCATGAATTTGATGTTCCATCTTTGTTCTTCTCGGGCACAGAAATTTATTTGATATATTCATGTTCTTTATTCGTTATATTTAGAGTTTTTAACAATTTAAGTCATCAATTTTTTTCAACTATTAGCCTATTTTGGCTCCCTTTGATCTCAAGAATACATTCATTCTATTCATTCTTTGTAAAAATATATTTCTTACATAGATAGCATTTCATATATTTTTAGTTATTAGTTTATGAAGCTTGTTATATTATTTTTGATCTCTTATATAACAAATACATTTATGACAACATTTGTGTAGACAGCTCTCTGAGAGTGTTATTTGGAATATTACGATTTAGTCTCAGTATTTACTAGTACCTATGAATGATTCCGAATCATTCGAGAGTCTTGAAACTAACTATCCTTTTGCCCGCCGGGGTGCGTGCAAAAGTACTTATACTCACGTACTCGCGCTAATGTTGTCATGGGTAGGAATCTAGAACGTTAGGGAGAGTTTATGCGTCTTCTCTTCGATAGCGAGAGCTCACGTGAATTTTCACAAGTTGTTGCTCGCCTTATTCGGATCTAGGACCTGTGGGCGTTTTGAAAGTATCGATTCTTGATTGATTGATTAAATACGGACTGATGATTCATAATAATGATGAAACAATTGTATCCTATTTTAATTCAATAAGATCAATGATTTTTTCGAAGCTCTCTCTCGAAAGTGATAGGTTCGTTCTTGTTGACAACATTTGTGTACCATTCTTTTCAAAAAGCAAAATGGTATTTAAATTTAAATTTATCTGACAATAAAAATTAATATTAATAATAGTATTTAATTTACAATTATTCAAAAATTTCTGAGAACAATTTTCAAAAATTCAAGAAATTTATAATGACTTAAGCAATTAAAAGACCCAGAAAATCAGGGTCAGGTAGCAGATAATCGACCCAACATTTATTTACTGTTACCGGTAAAAGGAATATTAGGAATTCGTTACCTGCTACGAAATCGTTATAGGGTTCTTACCACTAGAGTTTGTATAAAATACCAATATTTGAGATACTTCATACTTGAGATAGTGCTTTGCAACGACAGCTACACTGAGAACTGCTTCTTGATCAGATATGGGGTAAGTGAACGATTTACGAATATTCATATGTATGAGTCATTTCGAGTTTCGATCGGTTTATTTCGTTAAAAGAAATTTTTGAAACACGCAATGACTTTTATTTATATCAGTGAAAACCTCAAGAATAACATTATGTATAACAGCCATTATTTAATCAATTTTATTTTCCTTCATTCTACAAAGACTGCTCAATTATGATAGGTATTTATCATTTCAATATATATTTCAAATGATATTGAGGGTGATATGATATAAAGCTCTACTACATTTAATAGTGTAGGCGTTTACTTGATGTAAATCGATTATAATTGAATATAAACTTAAATTCAAACACTTGAACTTATGATTTACACTTTATTGACTACATAGCATGACGCGTTTCGTCGTTACAAACGAATTATTCTGTAAGCATCTGAAGAAGTCGTTTGTAAAGATGAAACGCGTCATGCTATGTAGTCAATAAAGTGTAAATCATAAGTTCAAGTGTTTGAATTTAAGTTTATATTCTACTTTAATTGTTATTTGTCAGCAAGGTCGTGTTTAATGGTTCATGTTACAGACAAGTAATAAAGAATAAGAAAAAAATAGATCTATGCTTCTGTAAATAGATTCTTTTATACATGCGTTTGAACGATGGTTCTGTATAAAACGCCCAAACTACTAAGATCCAAATTGACAACTGGAAAAAAAATTAAAAACGATCAGTTAATAATAATAATTCAATATATAATTCATATACAATCAGTGCTGTAGTGGAGCAGAAACAACACTCTCACTTTTATTACATAATTACACCCCGCATTTGCCCTGCCTTATTTTTGTAAAGAAGTGTTCTCCACTTCTTGATTTAGCTCTACAGCACTATTAAAATTCAAAGATGAAACGATCATTCAAAAATTATTGCATTTTCTTTTAATTGATTTTCATGGATTTTAGCGAATTGCGTTTCATTTCTTTCCTTTGTGTAAACAATATTTGAAATTTGTTCTTGCACCTACAATCGTTTGTAGTCCGAACCATCTATCTGACCAATAAGACATGTTACACGAGTTAACTTTTAGATGCCGAATGTATTTTCTGCTGAAGTCCTTTCACATTTCGAATCTTCAGTATTAGCTTACAGTATTCTATTTTTCAAATTATATGATTGGATTTCATTTTGTATTAAACATTTTTCGATTTTGATAGTCTAAATTAAAGCCAATAAGCATTTAAATAGTACCGAAACCAAACAATATTATTTAAAAACAGAGTATTCTAGGCAAATATACGAGTATTTGAAATGCGACAGATGAAACTGGAGTATAATATAGGTTATCTATAAGTTTACTTATGGTAGGTACATATCCGAAATTTATACAGGTCAATCAGGCAGAAAATTCAGATTCAAAGTATCTGAACATAAAAACTGCTATGACAAGGTAAAAACGGATTGCACTAATACAAACACCTTTTTTTGAAAGAAAATCACAGCGACAACGAAAAATTTCAATTATTGCATACAGAGAGGAACGAAACAAACTTAGTTATAGGTAAGTCTTGAACATCAATTTCAAAAAAAAATTCAAAAATATATTGAATTATGAATAGGATATGAGTAAAATTAACCATTGTAGAATTCATTCCAATTATTAAATTGCAATTTTTTTTCTTGTTTTTATACCTGTTATCAATTAATACAGAACCTGGTTATGAACTAACACGAAATTTCTCTATTAATAGTTTTGATATTGGATTTTAACAATCAATTGCAAATCTTGTGACTTTATTTAGTGACAACTTTATTTGAGACTTTTCTGTTCAGCTTCACTCTTAATATTCATTTATAGGTAGATTTTTGAGGACTAAGTCTAATGAGGACTAACTAATTTCTTTTTGTGTAACTCATTTATAGATCATTATTTAGATTCTTTCATTTATCACGTTCTTTAATATTGTAGTCACGCAAATATAAAGCATCTCAGTTAATGATTAATTCCCGTTCACCCCTATTACACGCTTTTTCAAAAATTCATAGAAAAAAGATTGGCCTAAGCACCCTATCGTGTCAAAATATTTCTGAATAGTAACGTTATGTGAGTGTATGAATTATTAAGAATTGAGAAAATTATCTAACTACCAAATGATCTCAAATAGTTATAATGACCACCTCATGTAAGTCAGTTTAATTTGATGCAGTCATTTATTTCTGTACTTATTACAACATTAACAATATAACTGAAATTTTCAAGTTCAAAAATAATTTTCAACAACAGGTGGAGGGTTTTTCCATGTATTCCTTTTATTCATGTATTCTTTACTAAGTAAAATTTAGGTAGTCTCTATGGCGTAGTGGGAAAATGACACACTCTCAATAAGGAGTCCTGGGTTCGAATCCCGGGTGAGACATGGACGTTTGGGTAGCTAAAATGAGTTTCAGTGGTTATATAAATAAATGATATAATCGGTAATGTCTAAAGATGACGAACCCAGAAAAATATTCAAAAAAAGTGCAAATTTAACGGCCATTTCAGGAAGTAACATTCTTTCTTTGATCAAATAATATTACTTATTATGAAGTTTTTTTTTTTGAGAAGCGATAAGTTGACTTTTTTGTATTTGCACGGAGCTAATAATGAGATACATTTTTGACATATTTTAATTCAATCTACGAGTATGTAAATAACTATCACTCATTGAAATTTCTTAGATTTAGAGATGTTAATTATGACTTATTGTTGATATTTATAAAAAACCTTCGTAAATTGAGGCAATGCATAAAAAGAAAGGCAATTATAATGAAATTAAGAGCGTACTTACTTTTGTACATATACTGTTATTATTAGCGCTATCTGGAGAAAAATTATAAAAGGAAAATTTAAGTTATATCGAAACAAAAATATTATGAAGAGTCGAATATTAAGAATACTGTGAATAATAACCTCTTTATAGGATTTGAATAATTAAGAAAAATTGTAATCCTTGAACACAGAAAAAATACTACTTACAATTATGTCAGCAGAATCGGAAAGATGAACTTAGAAACTTACATCTATAAAAAAATAATATAAATGGATAGTTGCCTCAAAAAAGATTGTTGTAAAAACTTTTAACAATATATAATATATAAACTTTATTTAAGTTTTACTTTTTCAGTGAATTTAAATAATGTGTTTTAGTTATACTATTTTAATTATTTATTGGAATACTTCTTCAATAATAATAATAAATTCTTTATTCTCAACTGGTATAATACCTAATTACCCCAAATTTACCATAGTGAAAAGATTGCATCTATTTTTAACATTCCTAGATCAATAATTTGCTTATAATAGTATATTTCAACACAAGAATAAAGAGCATACTTACATACATCAAAGCTAATGATGCACAGAATTGAAGTTTTTAAAATTCGTATTAGTGATTGTAACTAATAATATATTGGTTGCATAAATTTTCTACAAATAAACAACTATCATTTCTTACACATCAAAGAATTCATTTAAGTTATAGGGCTCCTTTTTAATCACGAGTATTTTTACCTTTTTTACAAAATTTTTAATATTTTTTATCTCTTTAATTTCATAAATTCATTTGGTAGTTTATTAAAGATTTTCATGCACATATATAAAGGATTTTTCTCTGTCAGATGTATAAACCGAACAACGTTAAAATATTATTTTTAAATAAACCTTGACAGGATTTTCTAAAAGTAATTAACAGGATTTTCTAAGAGGTAATTTATAAATTATTCTCATAACTCTTTTTGAACTAGAAAAATATCCCTCAAATTATACCCCATTCCATTATTACTTCAAAATATAATCCCATATCTTAGAATTGATCAAAAATTTGCGTTATACAAGCCTTCTAAAGTTTTTTCATTATTATATTTCAATTCAATAAAAGTAAAGGTTGTGTAGTTGTTGCTCCTCATTGTCGATACATTCTAACAGTGATAAACCGTGAATCAATAGTGCAATTTAGTGTTGCCTGAAAAAGAACAAATCGTTTATTCACAAGTCACAATTTTTCTTGAACATTCAAGTTGGATTATCCAATATTTGGGAAAAAATCAATCAAACATAAAGTGATTCAAAAGATGTTGGTGATCTTTCAACGCTTCTTGGGGCTTCCATAGGGTATAAATCTATTCCAGTAGCGTACCATTCCATTTGACTACTACTTATAACTTTGTTAAAACTGCCTACTACTTAAAACTTGGTCAACTTCTTGTAACGTTTGCAATCATAAACTGGGAAAGAAGAGATTTAAACTCCAATGCGCTGAATGCGAATTGTGATATAATAGATCATGCTTTGTGATTGACCATGAAACGTTTGAAAATGTTAAGCAGGGTTCGACTATGTGGTCATGCACGTATTGCGAGGGGGTGGATGTTCCATCGGTTGACCCTATGATGAACTTGTGTGAAACCAAAGGTAACTCTAGAAGATCTTATTCTCAAGTTAAACAGTATGGAAAGTAAATATAATATACTCCTTGAAAAATTCTTAAAGCAAGATAAGACCTTGGTGTGATATTTGTTGGGTTTCATTATCCGCAATTCTACCGAATTCTCACCCAACACTATCAGATCACTCTATTGTTGCCTTTGTAGATCAATACTAGAGTACGGCTCCAGCATTTGGTCTCAATACTACCGCTACGATATCGAGAGTCTTGAGGGAGTTCAACGTAAATACCTGCGTTTTTGGGTTATTAATACGGTTTCTCTGTAGGCGAAACTATGACTTCATGCGCATCTATTTTAACTTGGATTCACTGGAAAACAGAAGACGTGTGTCCGATATGTTTCCAATTGAAAATACTTAATGGTTACGTTAATTGTGCCGATGTGTCACTCAAAGTGGATTTATTTTAATTTAGCATACAGAATAACAAGGCACACTCTTCTATGTCGTTTGAGAACATGTAAAGCGAACTATATATAGAATTTTTTTGTTAATCGCGTTCTGTGGCTGAGCAACCATATATCCATGACATTCACTTTTTCTCTGTTTCACTAAGATCGTTTAAATTGTTAGTACGTAGAATAGTGAATTTGAATTTTAAATAGGTATTCGGATTGAGGATGTTTCAAATTGTTTAGTATTTCGGCTACTTTGCCTCTATATGTAAGATTTATATTTGTTTCTAAGTTGATTGTTACTTTATTCTGTATTCTATATTTGTCAAAAGGCGGTTTCCCGTTCCCTATATATATATATATATATATATATATATATATATATATATATATATATATATATATATATATATATATATATATATTCACGCAATCCATTCATTTTGTAAAAGGTGATGCGAAAGTTCACGACGTTCCACTGAGACCTCATTCGGCATTTTCAAGTGATTCATATTGAATCTGTAGTTGTTCTGAAGATAGGACTAAAAGTTTGTTAAAAAAAACTACTTGCTAAAGAGTTTAATAAAAGTTTTTTAAATTCAATTTTAGTTCTGTTATAATCTCAAATCGAGATGTATAACATGAATCACTTGAAAATGAGTAGCATTGCTTCGAAATAACTCCAGATGTTAGGATTCATTATCCGTAATTATCCATATTAGTTTTTAATATTTGTTCGAATTTTGTATTGGTATAATTAAATGTGGAAAGGGGCTTCCCATCCATTAACATTTAATTATATATTAAGAAATATGAAAATTTACATCTAATTCTTGCCTTAATCTTTCACAATTATATTGAATAATATAATAATATTACAACGTTGAGTCGACATGTTTCGAGCGGTCAGCAAATTATAAAGACATCATCTTGAGTCATTTGTGAAACATTGAGCCAAGAGTTTGATTTAAATTTTTATTTAATCATATTTCACCAAGAGGTAAGCGGGAATTTAATCTCAGTTAATTATATATTGTAATGAATGAATAAATAAATGAAAAATGCCAAATGAGATTTCAGTGAAACATCTTGAAAATTCACATTACCTTTCACAAAATAAACGGTTTGAAACCCACAATGACTTTCATTTTTATATGTATATATGGGTGTGTGCACATATTAAATACAATTTTCTTTTTGGGGTATTCATAGATTGTCGCTGTGTGTTCCCTTATTTGAAATGAAGTTTATTATTATTATTATTATTAAAACAAAACAAATCAAACAAGTGTTTTTGAATATAATATTTCATTGAATTTAAAAACGTTGCAATGAGATTTTCAAAATTATGATGCAACATCAATGAAATGTACCTACCAATTTTTTCTGATGATGATTAGCAGTACAAAAACAAGTGTAATCAACTAATGTTCCATTGATTAATTATGTTATAAACTTCAGGAAAATATAAGTATTTTTACTCTGTTTCTGAATATGTATGCAAACGAGTATCTTCTTAATTCAATGTAATTATAACCCAACACCATATATTCAACTGAAACTCTTGAATTCGTGGCTCAGTCTATATAGTTTGAAAAACAATCAACCAATTTATGACTTGGTTGGCAGACTAAATCACAATTTTGTAAATTACAGTATAACATTGACCTACAATCTTTTTGATTTTGAATACTTTAAGTAGGTATTTATTATTGATATTTACCAATTATATATTTCATGTATTATACATTGACCAAATTATCATTGTTTAATAAGTACTTACTAGTAAGTAATGTTTCCACCAGTATAAATTTCAATCTTTTTGAAATTATTAAATGTGAAATTAATTTCACATTTAGACAATTAATTTCACATTTATATCAAAGAATTACTGAACTTGAAATGAATTTTTCTAAGAAAGCAATTAGCAAAAATCGAATAATTATTGAAAATAAATTTATTTAAAATTTTCATTTTTCTGATTTGAAAATATACTTCAACTGAGAATATTATTCTGTTTTTTTCCAGTAACCAAAGTCCTAACAATAAAAATATAGAAAAATTTTATTACTCGTATTTCATAATTATTTTAATTCCTACGGAATACTTGGTTTACCAATTATTTCAATTTGGAATGAGAAAATTGAAGTGCAAATATTTTCATCATTGTATAATATTACACATTAAACTAAAACTTTCATAAACTCTTATATATTATGTTATACTCACTTCAGAAAACACGAAAAAGAGAGGAATATTGCCAGCTAGAAACGATCCAATCAACATTACAGTCACCAGCGATATTAACATAAATGTCTCTTCCATATTCACAAATTTTCACTACCTGTTAAGTTGATTTGGAAACCTGTGTATATTGTTGGATTCTAAAAATTGCAATCCCTTCATAAAAACTATTTTGCAATTCAAAAATGTTTATAAAACAAACAAATATCAAACTGACCACGTATTTACATTTACATTACTAGTCAGTCAAAACTTAAAAATTGAAATTGTAGTTCAATGTAAGATATAGGTTGAC